AGCTGTTACCACCACGTATCACAGACACAGCTAGCCATACACAAGCTGTGGCTGTCAAACAGAGAAGAGTGGAGAGGCTATTGCCAAGTTCTTCCACTCTCATGTTCCTTGTCATTCCTCTACTTTCTAATGCTATTCTAGGGTCACCATGACCTTGTGGCTGGCTACCTGGGTGAGCTCTGTGACTACATATAATTAATCCTATTTTCTCCACAATCCCCATTTGATTTGTATCTTGCACATGCCCACATACTGCAGTCAACTTATTCTTTTTTCTCTCATTGTTTTTCTTGGCAGGCCATGCCCATATTCCTGTGCCACAGTGCATGACTGACACACCGGTCCCCCAGGCCCTTACTCTGGACCCATCTAGCTCATAACAATATTGTAAGACTCCTTTTTCTCCTCTCCTCCCTCTAATTTTTTTTTAAGATTTATTTATTTTATTATAAAGTCAGATATACAGAGAGAAGGAGAGACAGAGAGGAAGATCTTCCATGTATTGATTCACTGCCCAAGTGACCGCAAAGGCCAGTGCTGCACCAATCCAAAGCCGGGAACCAGGAGCTCTTCCAGGTCTCCCACACGAAGTGTAGGGGTCCCAAATCTTTGGGCCGTCCTCGACTGCTTTTCCAGGCTACAAGCTGGGAGCTGGATGGGAAGTGGAGCTGCCAGGATTAGAACTAGTGCCCATATGGGATCCCGGTGCATTCAAGGTGAGGGCTTTAGCTGCTAGGCCATGGCACTGGGCCCTCTAATTCTCTTTTCTACGAATACTTCCGGTATACCATTTTCAGCTTCTACCCTTCCAAGCCTCCAGCACTACCAAGCATTATCTATTTCATATGCCACTTCTTACATGATTCTTTAAAAAAAATATTTATTTTTATTGGAGCCAGATTTACAGAGAGGAGAGGCAAATAATGGGTTTCAATATATATTTGTATTTCACACCATTTCTCTGAGTTCCACCTTAGGTAATACTTGCACTTGGATGTCACAAAAACAAGACAAATTTAATAGGCTGAAAATGAAACTGCTGTTTCTCTGCCCCACGTTCCCCCTCTAGGAAAACTTTACCCCACTTGACGCAGGGACTCAAGCTAGAGTTCCCTTCTGCTTACCGCAACAGCATGAGTGACTTTTGTATCTCAAGTCCAGAGCAACCTCTTCCTTCCCAGCACCACTGCCCCTTGCTCAGGCCAGCATCCTTTCTCATCAGCACCACTCCTAGCAGCCTCTGCCTTGGTCTCCTTGCTTCTATGTTGCTTTCCCAGTAATCCATTCTTTCCAAAGCAGCTGCAGCTTGCTTGTAAAAACAGAAATTCTATGGTGTCATCTCTGGTTAATGCTTTTTAACCCTTTATATCCCACCCTTCTATAAATTGGACACTTAACAAAACTTAAATTGAGCGATGATTATTATGGCAAGTTTGAAATGCACGTTTGTAGAGTTCTATTCTTTTGAGAAAAGAGGTGAATGATTAGAACGGTTGAAAATGTTTTCAAATTCATTGTGAAGATGGCAAAAATGTACTGCAGAAGTATTTACACTAATGCTCACTTAAAGGTCATATGCATAACTGATACATAAGAAATACGTTACATATTCTCTAGAACTAGAATGTCTTATTTCTATGTTGTTGGAATAAATAGGACCCTGGGCAATGGATCCTGATTTCATTGTTGTGTTCCAAACTGCTGTCTGACAAATCTGAATGTGCTGCTTCTTGCCAGTTGTTTGAGTTGTGACTTGTGCTTGGGAGTAAGGTAGTGGTTCTATCAATGCTTGAGGTGCCACTCTGGAAGCCACATTCATCCTTTGTTTTTTCCAAAAATCTCTTCACCAAACTTATTAGTGCATCTTAGAAACATGAGGTTCTGGGTCCAGCGCGATAGCGTAGTGGTAAAAGTCCTTGCTTTGCACATGCCGGGATCCCATATGGGTGCCGGTTCTAATCCCGGCAACCCCACTTCCCATCCAGGTCCCTGTTTGTGGCCTGGGAAAGCAGTCGAGGATGGCCCAAAGCTTTGGGACCCTGCACACATGTGGGAGACCCAGAGGAGCTCCTGGCTCCTGGTTTCGGATCGGCTCAGTTCCAGCCATTGTCGTTGCTTGGGGAGTGAACCATTGGACAGAAGATCTTCCTTTCTGTCTCTCCTCCTCTCTCTATCTCTGACTTTCCAATAAAAATAAATAATAAAATAAAAAAAGAAACATTACATTCCAAGCTATAGGGAACATAAGGGTAAACAGACTATATGAGTACCCTGTGAAAAAAATAATATTGAGAAAAAACGAGGAGGAGCAGGAAGAGGATTGTGTGACTAGATTAAAAACAAATAACAAAATTCTCATTGTAAAATGGTGATTAGTGTGCCATTGTTGGAATGAACTCTGAGGTAGGGGAACAATGTGACAAAGTTCAAGGATGGAAAAAAGAAGTAAGAGCAGAGCCACTGTGTCTCAGCCAAGCTCCTGAGCGTGCTTTAACTATCCTACTTTTATTGAAGTGCAAAAGCAGTACTGGCCTTTGTTTATTCAAATAATTATACATGTGTCCTAAATGCATGGGTCATTTATAAATTAGGGAACAAAGACAAGACCTCAAAAATTTGTGTTGGATTTCAAAAGAGGCATTTCCTTGGCAAACCTAAAATGATGCAATGAGAAGACAAAGAAGAAAGCATGATTACCCTTGGACAACTGCTGTCCAAGTGTGACAGCCCAGTCAAAAATGGTGACAGTAAGTGCAGATCTCTGGACACATTTCTGGGACATGACCATATAACCTTGGGTTCTTGGAAAGACCTTGGGTTCTCAGAAAGTCCAGAAACCAAGGGAGAAAGCATGAATATGCTTGGATTTATTGTTGTCCAAAATTACTGCAGATTTTACATGAGAAATTATAGTATTCTCAAATGTTAAGAACAATGTCTACACAAGCTAGGTCACATGAAATCAACAATATATTTACAAACTGTGTCCAGCATTTGGATCCTTTCCACTAAAAACCATTGAGCAAGTTTTGAAAGTTACTTATTTGTATACTGTGTATATACCATATTTGCCTAATGTCCTATGTAAAGGGCTATCTGTTAAAGATCCTATATTATGGGCCCGGCACAATAGTGTATTAGTTAAAGTCCTCCCCTTGCACGCACAGGGATCCCATATGGTCACTGTTTCTAATCCTGCCATCCGTGCTTCCATCCAGCTCCTTGCTTGTAGCCTGGGAAAGCAGCCCAGGACGGCCCAACGCCTTGGGACCTTGCACCCGTGTGGGAGACCGGGAAGAAACGCCTGGCTCCTGGCTTTGGATCTGATCAGCTCTGGTCATTGTGGCCACTTAGGGAGGAGTGAACCAGCGAATGGAAGATCTTCCTCTCTGTCTCTCCTCCTCGCTGTATATCTGGCTTTCCAATAAAAGTAAATAAATCTTTTATAAAAAGGAAATATTCAGAGAATTAAACTCATTAATTAAACTCAGTCATTCAGTAAACACATTTTACTGTGCATCCTTTTATATGCCAGTCCCTCCATATCCTTGCCCTCATAAAATAAATGAGGTATGGGATAATGATAAGGGCTATGAAGAGAAACAAAGGGAAAAGGATGGAGTGCGTGTGTGCTTATAGTTTGAAAATAAAGGGAAGGTTTCCCTGAGACAGAACTGGTAAGCTTTGAGACAAGGCCTTGAAAACAGGAGGAAGTGCGTTCTGCAGAACATTCCAGCAAGTGCAAAGGCCCTGACTAGCTTTGTGACTGAGAGACAATGAAATCCAAGATTTGCTATGATTTACAAGGTCACCCAGGCTCTACTTAACTACATTAAAAAAAAATCGAAAAATGAAAGCACTACAAAAACAACTCCTCCTTCTGTGTCTCCAACCCGCTTTCCCGGCAGTGCCCCACCTCGCTATACCCCATGCACAGCGACCTTCCGGTTCATCAGAAGCCGTTCCTTGCAAGTCGCCTGTGCTGTCGGTCACCTCGTGTGAGAGGTGCAGGGGCAGCTCCAACTGCTCAGTGTTTAAATGCCCCGTGGGCCTTTCCTATCCCCGGACCTTTCCAATTTCAACTTCCCACTCGCCTTCTTAACAGCACCCAACACCCCAGGCAACTGGGATTCAGGCGTCTGAACTCCTAATTAACCTCCTTTGTCATTAAAATTCGCATTTGGTCACTAGTAAGGAAAAGCTCCCCCAGGTAATGGTTAGCTCCTGGCTTTGTCTCGGTCGGGCCAAACGTTACTTCCCGTTCCTTTGTCTCCAAGCCTACAGGCCGGCGGGTCGGGCAGAACTCCACCCTACCCCTGATCTGAGGTGAATGCTTTTCCCAAGTTCCTGGTGGAAACCCTGACTCATGGCATCTAGCTCGTGGCAGGAAACCTTCCCCAAATCCAAATCCATTTAGAGGAAGAGTATTCCACTTCGACATCACCACATTGCGAAATTCGGCCCGAAAGTTGCGTTCGAGCGGGCACCCTCAAGCAGTTACTATTGAGCAATTACGGATAGCTACCTAGTGGTGTACTGCCGAGGCCGGGAGACTCCGGCCCTTCCGCCTCTCCGGGCCCTCAGGCTGAGGACCAGCCCGCCACAGAATGAGAGCGGGACGAACCACGCGGGGGACGCCAGCGCCGCGCGTGGGGTACCGCGTCGCCCCGCCCCGCGAGTGCCGCTCCTCTCGCGAGAGCACCCAGCGAGATCCGGCCGCGGGACGTTCTCTGGAGCCTCCAGACCGCGCCCGCTCTGGCGCAGCCGGGAGACGCGCCTAGAGGCCCGGGCGGGAGCGGCCGGCCGCGCGCACGCGCAGGTGAGCGAGCGGCCGGGCGCGAGGGCGAGGGGCGGGGCTTGCGGCGCGGCGCGGGCACGTCGCTGCGCGTCCTCAGTATTTAATGTCTCTGGGTTCCACCGGCCTGGGCGAGCACGTGGGGGAGCGACCCCGAACGGATCGCTGAGGGGGTGGGTGGGCGGGGTGCCGCAGGGCAGCGGCGGTGCGAGGACTCTGCACCCCGACGGTGGCCGAGGGGCTGGTAAGTTAGAGGGCCGCGGTGAGGCGGCTGGCTTACACGGGGTGCCCTGCTGGAGTGCTGAGGGAACGCCGTCGGGGTGATGAGGGGGAAGACTGGCGTCAGGTGCAGGATGCGTCGGGTGCTCCGGGAGTGCGGGTTCCGGACGCCGCCTGCCCGTTATCCAGCAGGCCCCTCTTCCAAGGCGCCGGGGTTGCCTGCCCGCGCGGGGCTCGTGCTGACAGATCGCTGGGTGCATGGCTTGGGGCTGCTCGGTGGGGTCCTGCGCGCATCTTCGTCCTCGCGGGCGAGGGGTAGGGGGAGGCCAGGAGGCGACGGCGGAGGCGCCCCCTCTGCACCTTAACTTTCCCAGAGCGCGCACAGCCGCCTGTGAGGCAGAGCCGAGCGCGTCCCACCCAAGGTCGCCCAACCCCACACGCGTTTACTTTTCAAAGGTCGTGTGTACCCAGTCTAAAACGCGGGAGGCGGCGGCGGGTCGGGTCGTGGGCAGGGCCTCTGCCGGGCGGGAGGGTCCCCAGTCCCCGCGTGGACCCCCGTGGCCACCCTGAGGGACTGGGACTGGAGTGGTCACTTCTGGAGCCTCGCCCCGCTGGAGAGCCCGGCAACGCGCTCCGAGTGGGCCCCCAGCAGGCCGAGCGGCGGTGGCGGCGAACCGGGTCCTGAGGGCAGCGTGGAGGGCGAGTGTTGGCTCGGCTGACCCGAGGGAGGACGGCTGTGATCCGAGGGCTCGGTGTCTCTCTAGGGACTCGGCTCTTGGTGGTGCACCTCCTAGAGCCTATTCCCGGGTGCCGACCGACTTCCCGCCGGGATCACCTGTCCCACCCTGCCTGCTCCCACTCTGCTCTGGCTCGGTCATCCGTGCCTGCTTCGGACTGTGGACTAAGATGTGCACGGAGAGGCCGGGAGCCGGACACCGATTTTGGGGCGCGCTTTTCGGGTGTGGAACTGTTTTGTGCCATTTGGACGGTTCTTCCAAAGGGGTCCAGGGTGGAGTGGTGGGCGGTGTAGGGGCGACCTTGGGTCACAGGTGGGCATTCCGGCATCTTCCTCTCCCCGGGAGATGCCCATGGCGGCGGGCCCCTTCCTGCCTCTTGGCCACCAGTTAACACAAACCCGGTGGACTTCGCTCCAGGTGCGCTTCGAGACAGGGAGTATGCTAGGGCAATTAGTGAAGACAAACTGGCCGTCTTCGCCCTCCTGAAGTGCGGGCTGAGTGGCTTTTAAAATTGGTCCTCCTGCAGTGACATCGTGTCCGCTGGACCTGGTGCCACTCCTGGTATCTGCCAATTGATTCGCTGCCTTGTCTCTAGCTACTCGCACCTGGCACAGTTACTGAGCAAGGAACTTCCTTTGAAAAAAAAAAAACTATTAATTCTGGCTACGAATAACCTTACATGAGTGTAACTGCTAAACCTTCCCAAATTAGTGTTGTTTAAAAAAAAAAAAAAGGACACCTCAACTTTATTTAGAAGGCAAAGCTTGGTCTGAACTCCCCCATCTGCTTTGTTTTTAAAGGTACAGCACACCTTCTGAAATGGAGGAGGCAGTGGCTTCATCTTATTTATCTGATTCCTGTGTTCCTAATGTTCACACGGGCCACCTGCTGACTATTTAAGAGTCTGAGACCTGGATGTAATTATGTTTTGGGAGCTTTTTAGCTGGAGTTGAGCATTTCCTCTTTCACTTTGAATTAGCTTGTGGGTTCTGGATGGTAATTCCTGGTGTCTTGTCAGTAAATCCGACAATAGGTTGGAGAAGCTCCCAGGTATCCTGTGTGTATACAACTCACTAAAGTTTCAGCTCTTGACAGGATCTCTTGTCATGCGCCTTGTCAGGTGTTGGCAACTGATCCAATCCAGGGAGCCAGGCAGGTCTGATGAGTTTGTGACTAGGTGAAGTTCCTTGGAGGAATAGCTCTCCCATCTCTGGGGCTGTTTGGAGGCACTTGGCTGCTGCAGAGTGGAGGTGACTGTCCTGCTCAGGTGATGGGTCTCCCAAGTAAAGCAGCTTGCTTTGCTACCTGGTGGCCTAAGTTGTTCTTGGACTAAGGATCCACACTTGGTCCCAGCCATCTGTATTTGTGTGGAAAGACTAGTTTTGACCTTTCTGAGGTTCCCTTTCTGCTGGCTTGGCGGGTATTAAGCATTGTTTGTTCCCTCCCAAACATGCGCTGAACTGATTCTCACTTGATTTGATTTGATTTTTTTTTTAGGATTTATTTATTTGAAAATAACAAAAAAGAAAAAAAAGTTTATTTATTCGAAAGGCAAGGCAACACCACACCACACCACACCACACCACACCACTCACATGTAGGTTGATGTTGTAGCCACTGGTTCACTCCGCAAATGGTCCCAACAGCGAAGGCTGGGCTGGGCCAAAGTCAGGAGCCAGGAACTCCATTTGGATCCCCCACCTGGGTGGCAGGGACCCAAGTCCATCTTTCATTGCATTTCTGGGTGCTTTAGTAGGGAGCTGGAATGGGGGAAGTGGAGCAGCAGAAACTCTAACTACGAGCATTGCAAATAGTGGCTTCATGTGCACCACAAATTCTATTTCCCCACCCCACCTACCCCTTAACCTTTCACCCAGGAACTAGGATGAAAGAAAAAGGGAGACATATTGGTTTCCTAGCACTATGACCATTTAGCCCCTGGCTCCAACCTGCAACAACTTGACCTGATGCTGAATGGGTTTGAGGGCGGTTTCAGGGTTTCCTGTACCTGGAGTACTGACCTGTATTCCTCCCAGTTCTGCTTTCTGATCACCCCTCTGAGTCTAGAGTGATTGAGCTTCTCTGCTGATCTGATCATCTGTTGTGGGGAAGCCGACAGTTCCTATTATGAATTAATATCTTCAGCTTGTTTGAGCATTTTCCTCTGCGCTGGGGAGGTGATGGGCCCCTTTGGCCCCTGGTCTCATTGAAATCATTTCAGTCACTTTGAGAGTTGCTAACCTCTATGAAGGGGTATGTTTTAGGTCTAAACCTTGCTTCCTAGCACAGATTCTATTTCTCCCATATTCATTCCTTGTGTAATAACTCATACAGGCTTTATTTCCACAAACAGTTAACAAGTATTCATTGTGTATGGCATCTCACTGAGTGAACAAGCTGGCCTGGGGTAGGGGGCTAATTTTAAACCTGAGCAATATAAAAACATGTTAACCGAGTGTATCTGGTGTAGAACCGTTCCTGGTTCAAGAAGTAGCCAGTGAAGGCTGAAGTTTAGAGCCTGCGCTTTTCACTGTTCACTGTGTGTGCCAGGGCAGACTATGTGCAAACACTGTGATAATCCTTTAATCTCTGAGTACAGGTAGAGTGATGAGGGTCTTCATGGATTGTTTCAGTGGTGCTGATAACAGAAACAGCAGTTGAGAGGCAGAGAATCTAAAAAGTGTTGATACGCACTAGTTGCTCTTGAGGGGCGGGGGGGGGGTTGTTAAAAATACAAAATCCTCAGGCTTTTTTCTTAATCTTTCTACTGTCTCCTAAGCAGCTTGTTGCCGTAAAGGGGATGGGTTTCCATTCAGCGTTTTGAGGACTTACTCTTCAGTGATGGGGTAACTTTTGGCGTGTCCCTTGGCTTTCCTTTGCTCCTATCAGGTGGCGATGCACCATCTTCATTCTGTCTGGATTGTTCCATCTGGACATTCCTGAGTCTTGATTTGATGGTTTGTAGCTGTCAGTAGTAAACATTCTGTTCCCCATCCTGCAGAGCTGGCTGACTGCTCCTTTGGCTGTGTGTCACTAAGGCCTGTTTGCACTTGGGAACAAAGCAAGGCCTTCAGGTGAGATCTGGATGTAAAGGTATGGAGAGCTGAGGCTGGCAGGGTTTGCTTCACTACCCAGTTGAGTTGGCTGGATTTAGTGCGGCTCTTAGCCTTCTGGGCTCTCAGTTGCCTGAACTGGTGGGATAGGGTTGCTGAACAATCAATATTCAGATTATTATCATTTTAGATTTACTTACTTGAAAGTCAGTAGCAGAAGAGATAGATCGTTTATTCATTGGCTTACTTCCTAAATGGGTGTAATAAGTGGGTCTGGGCCAAGCTGAAGTATGAATACTGTATTCTGGCATCTCACATGGGCCAAGTATTTGAGCCATCTTCTTTTGCCTTCTCAGGTGCATTAGCAGGAAGCCAGGCTGAAAGTGGAGTAACTGGTACTTGAACTGGCACTCCCGTTTGGGATAGCAGCATCACGCTGGGAACCCGAACCCTAGTGTTAGACCAAGGTGCCTGGTGGTTGCTAGAGAACTGCCTTTGGATTGCCATTCTAGGCAGTGCAGATAAAAATGTTTTTATTGTCAGAGATCTGTTGAGTGGTAATGGTCTTCACTGTTCTTTGCCCTCCCCCTCCCACACACATACACACACACAAATCTAATTGTATCAGCTTGCAGATCTCTAAAGGAGCACATGATTGGGCTTAGTCTTCCATAGTTTGTGGCCCAACAGCCTTGGTGACATATTTCTAGAGCAGCTCCCTTCGTGGTATGTTAAAAGCTAGCTTTGGTGTGCCCCTGGGAGAAGAATGATCACTTATGATGAAAGAAGAGTTCAGTGAGGGGCTTAGGTCAGGAACATGAAGTGGAAGGGCTGGGTTGGCAAGCTCTTAGGAAGCCATTTGATTTAAGAGCCTTTTGTTGTCTTAAAGATTCTTGCTGCCTCTCTAGCATGTGGGCTCACTGTCCTTTGTTGCCAGATGTCACATGGTCACCAGATCCACTTGTTCCTTCCTCTGTCTGATGGCTTTCTATGGGACTAAAACCCAAATTTTCATTCTTCTCCCTCCAGTTCATCTAAATGTTAGGGGAAGCACTGGACTTCTTTGAGCTTAGTTGCTAAGCTGTCTGCATCCCATATCAGAATATCTGGCTTTCCCTGCTCCTGATTCCAGCGTCCTTTCACCTGGGAGACTCCAGGTGATGGCTGAGGTCATTGGGTTCCTGATACCCATGTTGGAAGCCTGTATTTTGGTCTCAGTTCCTGGCCTTGGTGCCGGGCATTAGGGTCCTGAATCAGTGGGTCAGAGTGTGCTGTCCTTCCTCTCTTGCCTCTTAAATTCTAAAAATAAAGAAGTATTTTATTCACTTATTTTATTATTTATTGGGGACATTCTGAGTTTTACAGAAGACATTGGGGGAAAGTGGGACCACAGTGTAGATCTTCGGTTATAGGTGTGGGTCTGTCCGGGGGAAGTGGGCTTTATTTCCAGACCACCCTCAAGTCCTGGCTGTGCTTGGTTTGAACCCACACAGACTGACCTTTGGCATGCAGTGTATGATCTCTCGATCTCTCCTTTCTTGGAGCCACATGCATTAAAATACGTCAGACGTTTAGCACTGGCTGGTGTTTTAGGAGGTTTTTTTGCCCCCAAACTATCTCATTTTACTCTCTCAGACCTAGAAGATGAAGTGATTTGTGGGTGAGGAAACAGAGACCCTGGGGTCTCTGGGGTGGGTAGACATTAGATTGTGGGACACAGTGAGGTTGGCCTAGCCATGGGCCTGGGTCCCTCTCACCACCAATACTTCCCTATTTGCTCACGGATTCTTACTTCCCCATTATCACTCCATGCTTCTCCTCAACTAAGCTGTGTTTTTCAAAGATTGAGACCATTTATTCCACATGCTGAACCTGTTAAAGTGTCTTGAGTCAGTTTGGCTTCATTGGAACCCTGTAAGGGAGAGATTTTTGTTCTGTTTTACAGGGAATTGGAGTTCATGTACCTGTTCTTTAACGCTCACCTTTCCAGAGCCTGAGTCTGTCATTAGGTAGGTGTGCTTTCAGACTGCACAAATGACAGTACACTGTGGAGAAAAAGCCTCATAGACTAGGGGGCTGTGCCTTGGGGCCTGGGAAACTGGCCTGGAGAGTGAGCTGGTTGAAAAGACAACCTTGAAGTCACTCATTCCCCAGCTAATAATAACACGGCCTGTCAGGCCTCACAAGCAGGTCACGAGGCCAGCCCTGGCCCTCAGCAGGCTGTTACCCAAGAGTAGCTCGGTCCCCACTGGAGGAGGCAACAAGATCTGTTCATGCACAGTCCCAGCGCCTTTTCCAACTTTTAGCCTGGCTGTGCCTTTGTGAAAACCGTGCAGCAACAGATCTGAAGACCAGGTCGATCTTCTGGTGTGACTCCTTCCTGTCCCTCTAGAGAGAGAACAGGAGTCAGTCTCACCTTCTTAGCTGCCTTGGAAGGAAACCAGTGCTTGGATGAGATGTATGTTGTCTCTGCAGAAGGTGGTGCTGAGAATAACCTTGCTTTGTCCATTGACTTTGATGCAGCCCAGAGGTCAAGCATGTGCTGCTGTTGTTATTTTTAGCAGATGGCATCCTTCAGGAGGGCCAAGTGCATGTGGCTGCCATGTATGGGGCAGGCCCTGGTGTCGACTGGAGCTTTTGCTGCCTCATCAGGGGAAGGAGGAAGATAAAGTCACCCTGGAAATGGTCATGGCATGTGGAAGGAGCAACTGAGACTGCCATTTCTTCTCAATCTGTGGCAGGGGCTGACCCTGCCTCCAGAGTCAGGTGAGCCTGTGACAGGCAGCCCAGTGAGCTGGGAAACTAAAGGACTACTGTCCCTGGAAATCAAATGAGAATCTCTTGTAGGCCCAACGGTTGATTTTCGGGAAAACCACTTACTCCGGTTTTCCTGTGAAGCTGCCCAACCTAAAAGCTGCCTGCTAAACAGACACCAGGAACTGAAGCTGTGGATTGACTGGCCAGTCTGATTACTGATGTCCTCTGGCTGAAGCTGAAATACAAACATGAGAGGAGGCAAAACCACAGCTGCTTGTCAGAATTTTTGCTGGGAAGCCGCTGAGGCTGAGGAGGGCTGAGAAAGGAATTTGACTAACAAGTTTGCTGGTTGCCTGCCTACACTGTCCTTTTTCTTTCTTTCCTCTTTCTTTCTTTCTTTTTCTCTCTTTCGTTCGTTCGTTCATTCTTTCTTTCTTTTGTTCTTTCTTTCCCTCCTTCAATCTAACTTGGAGCTGCCAACTCCAGCCCATCTATCTGTTTCTGATTAAGAAAGCTTCAAGCCATATAAGGCCCTCTGTTGCCTATGGTTTATGTTGGCTGGAGAGCAAGGTTGTTTTTGCAAAGTCTGATTCAAAGAAGTGGCAAGTGTGTATGTCCCCGCCTCCTGGGCTGGACTGCCTTGCTGGAACAGATTCTTTGGGGACGAGGGGTAAGGATAGTTCAGCATTGGCCCTTTTGCTGCTGTTTGGTGTGCTGCAGGACTGCCAAGTATGAATGTAAACAAACCTGCAGAGTGTACCTGTCATGCTCTGAGCCTCTTCTGGAATACATTCTTCTGTTTGAAGCCAAAACCAAGCCCCTTAGTTCCTGGGGCAGTGGAGCTGCCCTCTGGAGGAAGTCTGGTGAACTTAGTAGCCCCTGGGTTTTTGCAGTTTTGATCTACCTTTAGCACTGCTTCTGCCTGGAATGCCAGGGTGCCATGAGTCGGGCCGCGTGCTCCTACCGCATTTTGGCCTCCCCTTCTTGCTGTCTCTGGAGTCAGCCAAGGTCATTCCTGCCTTAGGACTTTGGCAAGTGTCCCCCTACACATACACACCTGGAACTTTCTCCTCCTCCCCCCCCACCCAGATCTTGGTGCAGCTCCTCACTGCTTAGCTCTGTTGCCACCTCTTCTGATAACATTGTTTCACTATTCTATCTCAGGCTTCTTTCCCAAACACTGTACTTGGCCTTTGTCATCTAAACCACTGTGCACAGACAAGGCTGGTCTCAGCCTCAGCTACTACCCAGGAGAGTACTTGATTCACAGGCAGTTGAAGTTGCAAATTGACTACATTCAGTTGCTGGATCTTTGCAGTCTTATTATCTGCCATTTGATTTTCTGTCTTCCACAGTTACTTCCAGAGGACCCTTTCCCTTGTGTTGCCCAAGGAAATTAAGTGACCAGGTGGAGGGTCCTGCTACATGGTGTGGCTTGCTCTTTAATGTGGCAGACCATAACCTTGGTTTCTGAAGGAACTGGCAATATGTTATCTTTGGCAATTGCTATTACATCAGCATGATAGTTGGAAGTATCTGACAGAAAGTTGACTTTTATCATTAAGGTTAAATCACAATCAGTTTGTAAACAGATGAGTTAATACTAATTCATACTTTTTGTGATGGCTAAAAGAAACACACAAAACTGAATGTGAGTACAGCATTCATCACGTACAGCATTAACAATGCTGGGGGCTGTGCAAGTGAAGTCTCTGCCTGTGGTACCAGCATTCCATATGGGCACTGGTTCAAGTCCCTGCAACTCCACTTTTGATCCCGCTTCCTGCTAATGGCCTGGAAAGCAATGGAGAAGAGCCAAAGTCCTTGGGCCCCTGTGCTTGTGTGGGAGACCCAGAAAAAGCTCTGGACTCCTGGTTTCAGACAAGCCCAGCCCTAGCAGTTGTCATTTGGGGAGTGAACCAGAGAATAGAGGACCATTTTGTCTCTGACTCTCCTCTCTTTGTAACTCTACCTTTCAAGAAAAAAAAAAAAAAAACCCCACACACACACACACACACACAAACAAACAAGAAAAAAACTTTGAAAAACAAGAATGTACATTCTCCTAGTTAGTTCCCTTAGTTTCTTTTACTTTTCTGTGTATCTCTTTCCAATTCCCTGATTCTGTCCAGATCCTCTGCCTTTGCTGTGGACCTTGCGTCATTGGAGAGCTCCTCTCAGTATGGCTTAACTACTGGCCTCTTAACAGTTCCCTGTTCCTTGTGGGAAGTATCCCTCTGCCTCCGCTCAGCTTCCTCTTCTGG